GGTGAAGATACTTTCTGCTTACCTTAGATCAATATTTAGTACGAATTCGAAGAATTCTCATTATAATTAAGTATAATTAGTACTGAGAGAAAAGATACAAAAGTCGAAACACCAAAACCAAATAACGGCTACCATTACACTGGTGACCAAGAAATATTTTCACCGCCAATGATTAACGAAAAAAAAAATTTAAATTATTTATAATAATTATTCTCAACCGAACTCGTTTAAATTAAAATTAAAATATGAATGTTTATAGTATAATTTCTTTAATTAGAATAATATAGCAATTGTGGTCCCTGGTTTTATTCGTTTGCGTAATTTTGCACCGGAAATAGGAGTGTGTGGGCATCGATAGTTTGTTAGCCTGCTTAGTATTGTTTTTCCTTTCTTTGCTATTTATTCTTCAGCAACAACTCTTGTGATTAAATGAATAAACGAATAAATATCCTGTCAGTGTCTATTTTCACCGACAAACACGTATTAACACTTAAATATAATATAATTTAATAATTTACTCTATTTTCTATCAATAGACTGCCAATATTTATGCAGAGATTTCTTTCCCTTAATAATATTAATCATAATATTAGTTTACTCTTTAATTTAAATCCTCAAGTTTCACAAAAATGTCTAAACATTCGTAACCTATTTATCACAAACTACCACCAATTGCAACTAATCCTATATTCATTCACCCATTCATTAAACGTACGCACTGTTATATTTTATATATATAAAATTAATTGATATCTAAAAATAAGAGAGAGAGAGAGAGAGAAAGAGAGCACGCGCACGAGATTCCTCATTGAAATAAAAAGATAGAAATAAAAACTAATTGTGCGCTGCTTCATCGACTTATCAGTGACAGATAAATAAGTTTGCTTTAATACAAAAGTTTTCAAATAGTAGTACTGAATCATCGATTCAATCATAGAGAAAGGTAGAAGAAAGAAAGAAATAAAGAGAAAAAAACAAAAGGAAGAAAAAGTAATGAAAAGCTAGAGAGCAAGCTAAAGAATAAGGAAGATTTGTACTTTTGACTTAGATGCAGTTCAATCATATCTCACATGCTCATACATATTACTGTCACGCTGTACCAGCTCAGAAATCGTTGTATCACGATTTATCACAGCAGCTAATTCGTTCATTTGGTCCCTATTTGCGCGCATGAACGCTTTAGTAGTCCATATCATTTCAGCCAAAATTTCGTCACTTTTCTCATCCATAGCGATGTCTTGGGATAGTTGCGGATTGAATCTATAGTAAGGCACTCCGATCATGGAACACCAATTTCTGGCACGATCGATGACCCTTCCGTCGCTTGCTGTTGCTTGATCCACCAATAACACCGCGAGGACCGACATTCCCATCGCTAACTTTGCAGTGTCCCATAAACTTTCAGGCCGGAACACATCGATTTCTTTCAATGGACTAGTAGGTATCAAGCCAGTGCCAAGGGAAACGACCAAAGACAAGGGAATCACTTCGTCTTCGCGTCCACTAGCTTTCAAAGCAAGATTGTACTCGTGAATTTCGGTCATTGCATCCAAAGTCGGATTATTCGCTATCAGTCCACCGTCGAGAAATTTGCCGAACGCTCGGAAATAAGACGGAGCTGCCCCAGTTGCTCTTGCCGCATGCCAAAGCAATTGTTTGCTCGGTGACGAGGAGACGGACGTCTCTGGAAGTGCGAGTAATACACTAGGTGCGTCGTAATTGCGAAACAAGTAAAGGTCGACAGGCTTTTTATCAGCTAATACAGCGGTAATCATTATTTTGGGTTTTTTAATATCGGACATAATTGTATTAGCACCTAGACACTCTTTCAATACATTTTCCAAGCCTTCATTGCTATATGGACGTGTACCGATAAAAGCTTCCTCTTTAATGCGGAAGTACAGCCCCTGACATTCTCGCAGAGACTTGCCAGCCGCTAGGCCAAGAGCTAAAATCCCACCTGTAGATGTGCCTGCAATCCAGTCGAAACACTCTACGATAGGTTTCTTCAAGACCGACTCAATCTCCAGTAACATCTGTATAAGAACCAAACCACGAATCCCTCCTCCATCCAGGCAAAGAAGTCGGCCGCCTTTTATTTTCTGATTTTCTTGCATAGCCATCTTATCCATTCCAGAAACGTGTAGCATTTGATCCAATATCGTGCGAGGTACAGCCGTCGGTGGTTGCTGCGGTGCGATACCATTATATGTTTCGTTAAACTTGCAGCCCATATGACAATTTAACATTTCTCGTGGACAACGTTGAGCGCCCACCGAATCTAAAATGTACAGAATTTTCTGGCCCTCGTTGCTATCGATATTCACGCAATGCCGTGGCGTTTCTGACTTCCAATTCCTGGCATCAACATCCGCTCCGAAACCTATCAGTATTTGTACTATGGCAGCTGTACCACTGGAAACCGCCAAATGCAATGGAATATTGCCATCCTTGTCTTCGATATTTACAGAACACGTATGACTTAATAATGCCACGACGCACGGTAATCGTTTTCTCAATGCCATAATATGCAACGCTGTACGGCCATCAAAGTTTACAGCATCTATATCACAATTGCTTTCTATTAAAGCATTAATCACCTCTCTGCTCAGTGACCAATGCAACGGCGTACCGCCAAATTTCATATCCTCCGCGTGGAGAGCATTTTGTTTACTGTGAAGTAGATCTCCTACATAACTAGGACTAGTAGGTTGTCCCTCGGAAGCCGGAATATTCACATCCGCTCCGATTAAAAGAAGAGCTGTAACGCACTCAGGCTTATTATTCAAACAAGCGACGTGTATTGGTGTATGCCCGTTATTGTTACGACTATTTAGACTATTTGGAAGGTCACCTCCAAGGGCTAAAATTATTTCTTTGGTAGAGTTAGCTGCATAATGGTAGACGGTATTGGCTTCATAATCTAGATGCTCCAATGAACTTTTAGCTTCTATCAACATTTGTACTGTCCGTAAGTTATTTGTTTGTACCGCAACTTGCAAAGGTGATACACCTGTTTCTATGTCTCCGCTGTTTAACTGACTATTTACATCAGAATTGGCAAAAGTATTGTAAAGAGCAAAATGAGCTGCAAAATGTGCCAGTGTCCATGTTGGATGTTCCATTAAAGTATCGCATAATTTTTGTATCTTACTCACGTTGCACATCTGTGTAAACAAACAATAATCATTGACGCTCATGATTTCTATGCAGATGAACAGATATCATTAAACATTAGAAACTACCTCGCGGCAAATTTGAACAAGTACCGGAACCTTGTCTTTGTACACAAGAAAATGTGTTTCCGCATCTGCTCTATCTTCTGATCTATACAAACTGAAGACATTATATAATTAATATTAATAAATTTCATACTGCATTAGCAGGGAAAAAAGGAGAATACGTGAGAATAATTACCTATACGCATGATACAGTGTTTCTGTACAAGGCCTGTGAAGTACAACTTCAAACTTCTTTTTATTTCCTTCTGCTGGACCGTAAAGTACAATGCCATCCTCGCGACATTCAATATGTCGATTACTGTAATTTTTAGGCTCAACCTCTTGGACTGTATTCGATGGTATATCTTGAAACACGATATTACGAAGAACATTGCTAGCGATCGTTTCAAGCCAACTCATGATGGACAATTTAGGTTATAGACAAAAACTGTCGCTACACCTCTTTAATTGACTGTCAGTTTATTCGAATGAATCAACGTTATATAAGATCGCACTAATCATTTCTTCGAAAGCGCAATTATTGTATGTTATTTAACGGAAAAAAAATATATAAATATACAATTCCAGAAGTCAACCTTACTTTCAGCAACGGTTTACAAGCCAATACTATGGCTGTAGTGTGCTGTGGCCAATGTAAACAAAAATTTTTGAAGCAGTGGTAACGCTGATTATTTACCATGAATATATATGTTCCAATATACGAAAATTTCAATGAGATTAGTAAAATTACAATTATCTTACTACTCTGTCAAATGAGGTAGAATAATACTATTATAATTATCGAAATATATGTTATACGCTATCTTTTATATCTAATATTTTGTTGAGGCTATTGTACATAGGATGTATTTAGGAAAATAAAATTTTCTGAATTCGAAATTAAACAATAAGATAAAATATGTTTTATTATTGAAACATTTGAATTCACACGTTATTAAATACGTATTAAATACGTTTTGAAATTTAACCTTTGCATGTAAGCGTATCATACCGTTGGGCACACACGCAATGCCATTGTTTTCAAATAAATTTTCCCCTAAGAAGACTCCTACGAGAAAAGTGGGAGTTTTCTTGGCAAACAAAGATTTTAGTCCGAAACGTATAGAAAAAGAACTCGGACCCAATATTGGTCCTATACATTTAAAATTAGGAGATCAAGAAACTGTCTTTGAGTCTGGTTCTTGGATTCCAGGTAAGTTTCATAATGAAAAAACATTTATAATATGTTAATATCATGTGAAACTTATTTTTCAGAATCTGGAAAAATTGGAAGCACATATAAAGAAAATGAGAAATTAAAAAAAGAAGTAAAGAGATTAGAGGATGAAAACAACCTATTAAAATTAAAATTTGAAGTACTTCTCGATATGGTTATTAATATCTTTTTTTTTTAAATATATATTTTATTAAATCCAGTATCTTTTTTTCAAGTAAAATTCACCATTGTTCTGTTTTATTTCACAGTTGACACAAACAACAGCAGAATATCATTCACAGAAGGAAGAATTAGATAAACTAAAACAGAAATTGCCATATAACAGAAACAGAGAATCTTGATACAAAAGTACATTATCATCGTTCATCTTTTCTTTTACATATCCAATTACATCAATATTTCATATAACTAGAATCTTATGAATCTCTTAATAATTATTAACATATTCAATATATTGAATATTCTATATTCAATATTATTCATAAATATATATATATATATATATATATATATATGTGTACATGTATATTTATAAATTTTTATTGTTGTATATACACATATACACTTAGTTAGATCATAATAATTTAATACACTTTTAAAAAATAATCACATGAAACATAAAAGACAATTATATTTTTATTGTCGTACTGAACTTTTGTATTTTATTAACACCATATATGTACACTTCCCTTTCAGTCCATTGCATTCTCGGGACAAGTTTTCTTTGTATGTCCTAAGAATAAAATCATATGCCTCAACGTGAGTAATACATTCCATATCAAAAGATTATATGCAATAAAATACAAACCTTCAATTCTGCAGATTCCACATTTTTTTTTACCAGTAGTAACTCGGCGTTTCTTTCTCAAATTTTCTTGTAGCTCATTTTCTCCTTCTTTAAATGATTTTGTACCTCTTTTCTCAGATACATTATATGTATTTCCATCATTTTCTGCCCATTGAAAGAATTTGCAAGATTCACTCATACTCTTAGGACATGACAAAAAAGGGCGTCCTTTGTTTGGACCATCTTTTTGTACAATCCGTCTACAATGTATAAAAGTGATGATTTGTTTGAAAAATGCTAAATATATTAAAGATATTCTATTAAATATTTACTCACCGTACGGCAATTTGATTACAATGACATTTAACATCATTATTTGATGACATAGATACACCACGATAACTGTTATCATGAGCACTTAATCCAGTACTTGTACTGGCATTTAACATCTGGTTTGAATTTCTATTTACATTGTTTTGCATTTGTTGTGCGCTATCTGGTGCCCAAGAAAAAAAATCACAATTACTACCTTGAGGTTTCGCACATTTATAAAATAACCTTCCTAAAACATCATGAAACAATGGTTATGACAAACTGTATTTAATCAAAATTCCTTCATAAACATCTAACACATATATACCATGATTTGGTCCTTCTTTCCTTACTGTTAATTGAATCGCATTTTCATGACATTTACACATAATAATGGCATTGTCATCAATGTTACCCCATATTTTAGTTTGTTCATTTCCAGACAGTCTTAAATCATCATTTGAGGTATTGATATTGTTATTATGCCATGTATTAGTCTTTGAAATATTTTGTTGTTGAATATTTCTTGATTCTTTTCTATTACGATTATTGTTCTGATTTCGAACAAACCCTATCGATGCGTTGCTTAAATTCTTCTTATTTTCAGTATTTGAAAATGGATGAGTTCCACTGCTCCTTATTGAAGATGAATTTGAAACAATAACTCCATCAAACATACTACGGTAACCAGAGTCATTTGCCGGAGTTAAACTTTTAATATTTTCATTCTTTATACTTAATGCTTCATTAAACATAGAATCACAACCACCTATGCAGGTTGTATAATCAGTACCATAAATAGGAAAAGCATTTCTCAAAAATTTAAATTTTAATTTACGAATATTTCCTGGGCACTAAAATCAATAATTTTAATTATATATCGTAATATATCATATTATAATTATAAATACTGTAACAACATATAATATTTACTTCTGAACAAATTTGATCCGAAACTTCAACACATTCTACCGTCTGAGGGAACCAAATTACGTTATTACATGTTGGATAATTCATACAACCAATATACTTTCCAGTGCTTTGCTTTCTATCTTTAAGAGTCATATCCGAACCACATTTTGGACACTTAAAAATAACAGTTTCTTGGGTAATTTGTAGCTCTTGTGCTTCACTCGGTTGTTCATCGAGATAATTGGCTAAAGCATTATCGATTAAATTGGCACGTTCCAACGTTATTTTAAATAAATCACGATAGTTTTTTATCTGAGTTTCCAAAACATCTTTTGGATTCTTTTGCCGATCACATATCCTATATGCAAACGTATAAAATATAAATTCAATTCAAAAATTCAAAGGTTCCATTCATTATTAAAAAGGAGGTATAAAATCGACATACAATTGAAGATCTTTTTCTAAATTAGCTCTTAAGTTTGGTTTCGACATTTCAAATCCCATATTATCATAACCCATTACTAATCCAATTCCAAGTTTTCCAGGTATTAAATACTTCCCATCCGTCAAACCAACATATTGACGCGATTTTATTTTATCTATATGCTCTGCATGAGTAGCATCGGTACCAATTCCATACTTATCCATTAAACTGATCAAATCAGCTTCAGTCAACAATCGTGGAGGACATGTTTCCTCCTGTACCATATCTATACTGGTAGGCTGAAAAACTTGACCTTCTTGATATATATGAATTTCTTTGTTACTCCATTTTTCATAAATGTATACATTTAAATAATTCTTTTCAATAATTTGTAGGCCATTAGCACCAAATTTTTCTCCAGCTATGTCGATTTCTACCGTTGTTTCTTGACCTACAGCATCACTCGATAGACAAGCCAAAAAATGTCGAACCACAAATTCATAAACTTTAGCTTCATTGCCTATCATTAAATAATTTATCGTAAATTAACGACAGAATGTTTTTCATTAAATTTAACAAGTGTTGCATACATACCATTTAGATTATCAGTATATTTCGTTGGATGTATTGGAGGATGTGCTTGATCACTTTTCTTTCCTTGTCTAGGATTTGGTCCCTTTTCTAACAACTGTTGTGCAAAATGGCCCCATGCTGGATTATTTATTTGTTCATTCACTAATGGAACTAAATTCAATTCTTTTGGAAATATATTTGTTTCTGTACGCGGATAACTAATCAAACCCTGAGTATATAATTTTTCTGCAATCTTCATAGTTTCCTTTGCACTTAAATGAAGTTTACGAGATCCTTGTTTTTCTAAATCCTAAATGTATTTAATTTAATTTAATTAGATAAATTGAATTATATCTCTTCTTATTAAGACTATTATTTTACTACTTACAACTGTATCAAGTGGTAGTGGTCTCCACTTGCTCTTAGGTTTACTTAATACTTTTACAACGGTAGCCTTGGGTTGCTCCAAACATATATTTAAAAATACTTCACAAGGCAATTTTTCAAATAATCTTCCTCTTGCCCATCTAAATTCCACAGAAATGTCATCACGAATGTCCATCACTTTTAATTTCCAATATGGTTCTGGCTTAAATCTTTCAATGGCTAAAAATCTTTCAACTACAAATCCTAATGTAGGAAACTGACAACTACCATAACTAATCAACATATCAGCCAGACTCCTGGGAAATATTTGTCTGAGTCTCATTGTTTGAAATCTTGTAAATGCAGCACCTATAATATTGTTTCTGTTATGTTTGAATTCGTAGTTATAGTAATATCATTATATTAATGTTAAAAAAATACATTTTTTAAATACCTATTCTTAAATCTAATTCACTTCTTACATCTACAGCATCACTGATTGCTTTGTCTGGTTCAGATAGATTTTGAAGAGCTCTGTTTATAGATACTTGCGTAATTTCAGAAAATTTTGCCCTGATAAATAATACATCATGTACATTATTACCATGAAATCAAATGTAATTACACAAATAACTTATTTCACAGATACCTGCATATACGAATATTTGGCTTGATTGCACGACAGACTTCAATAATTTCAAAACCTATATTCTCTCCTTCGCGATCACAATCTGTCCAAATAATCAATGCACTGCATTTTTTTATTTCCTTTTCCAAAGTCTTCTTAATCTTAATAAAATTCTCTTCTGAACATTTCTTTACCACGGGTGCATCGAACAAAGTTAATGGATGACAACCATGCCATTTACGATATGCTTCAGTAAATTCATAATTTAGCAAATGACCTGATACAGAAGTCATGATCATTTCGCAGTTTTGATTCCATAGATGCGAAGTAAATTCATAAATTTTATTATATTTTGACAATCCTTCTCTCTAAAATGAAATAAAAGACGTGCGGTGAAACTGTTGCTTGTATATAAAATTTCATGTTTCAATGAAAATAACTTTTTTTCAATTACCCGATTACAAGTGCCACGAGACAAATAGTTCGCGATATTTTTCGCGGCATCGTTCTTTTCCGCAACATTGAGAACTTTCATGACCGTATTGGAACTGTTGAGTCTTATAAATTGTTGATAACACTGTCTTGATTCATACAAACTTAACTTTACAGTATCAAATATCTTTATAACAAACAACATAATACTATATATACAGTTGGCTTCGATTCCAATTAGGGTTATAATTACATATTACGTTTAACAATCCAACGAAACATCATCTAAAATAAAAGACAGCAATCGTCTTATTTCTACATTTTTAAGTAAAAATCACCGAACAGGACTCATTTCACTTTACATTTTTTGTTATCACGTTGAAAACAACTTACACAACAAACAACTAACTGTTGCCGCCACTTACATTGCTTAACTACTTTAGCTAACTTCGTTCAGCAATGTACGAAACTTCGTCACTTAACAATTCCTGTTAAAAGAAAATTTCGTATGGCACAACGAGTATCGACGGAATTAGATGTCGTAATTTGATGAAATCTCCACGTAATGAAATGTATAATTTATAATAGATCAAGAAAAATGGTAGAATACGCGTTGTTTGAGAGGGACAGTAACATTTTCATTGTGAACGTTGCAACTATGTCAATGCAAGGAGGAAAGTGCTGGAAGTAGCAGTAGACATTTTCAATATTTTGCACAGTAATTTTGGATTTTGTACACCTTTGTCAGGGCACAAGTAAGTAAATGATATTATTATGTAAATAATATCATCCGAATTGCGAAGTCGGTTTCGAATTTCTTGAAACAAACTTTTTTGTATGTCGATATTAAATATTCGATATTACATTCAACATTTTCAATGTTGTCTTTTATTTTTGCCCTCTCATTTCTCCATTTAATATTCCGCTTTGTTAATTTTCACAATTTTTTACTTTGGTCATATTCCAGTAATTTGCACATGTGATTTGTAACCATTACTATTTCGTTGTTTAGAAAGCATAGATTTTTACTAAAACAATATTTTTTTAAACTTTTGTCTTTTTTCAGCAAATTGATCGTTACTTTAATCAGTTACTTTAACAAAGCCAAACATGACGGAAGATATGTCAGGAGCAGATATCTGCAGGGTTTGCAGATCTGAAGGTCTTGCAGACAGACCCCTTTTTCATCCGTGTATCTGCACAGGCAGTATTAAATGGATACATCAGGAATGTTTAGTGCAATGGATGAGATATTCCCGTAAAGAATACTGCGAACTTTGTGGATACCGATTTTCTTTTACGCCAATTTATAGCCCAGATATGCCACGTCGTTTACCATTAAGAGATGTCATTGGAGGATTATTTTCCAACATAGTAACAGCAGTAAAATATTGGCTACACTACACTTTAGTTGCAATAGCGTGGCTAGGAGTTGTTCCATTAACAGCTTGTCGAACATACAGAGCATTATTCAGTGGTCCTCTTGATTTGGTTCGAGTAAATACTTTCATATAATTCTAAAATATACGTGAAATTTTAATATCTCATGACAAAAGGTTAAATAGCAGTGTTTTTTTGTTCACAGATAATGTCCTTACCAATGGACATGTTATCTGCTGAAAATATATCATCAGATGTATTTCACGGATGCTTTGTGGTAACTTGCACTCTGTTTGCATTTATTGCTTTAGTATGGTTAAGAGAACAAATTTTACATGCTGCTCCTGATTGGCTTGATAGAGATAATGTACAATTGCCTCCAGTCGATAATCCACCGCCTAATTTAGAAGTTCCCATGCAACAGTTTCAAGAGCAAAGAGCTCTTCAACAACAAGAAATTCAGGATAATAATAATATACCACCCTTCGTTGATGAACCACAGATTCTACCAGAGAATTCAAACAATGACAATTTAGAAAATGCGGAAGGACATAGGGCAGAAGAAAATAATTTACCAAATAATCAAAGAATCAATGAAGCTGAAGGAGTTGGTGGAGATATTGAACCACATGTTGCTGCCAGAAGCGCTGATCAACAAATAGATCAACAGTCTGTCAGGGATTTAGAACCACAAGTAGTAGTACCTCGAAATGTGGAACCATTAATTGCGCCTAGGGATATGGAACAGCCTGCAGCACCTAGAGATGAAAATGACGAACAAGCGAATGCAAGAGCTGGCGAGGGATGGAGGGATCAAGCCCAAGGTCAGGCTCAAGGAGAAGATGAAGAAGCAAACTGGAATCCATTAGAATGGGATAGACCCGCGGAGGAATTAACTTGGGAGCGTCTTTTAGGCTTAGATGGATCCCTTGTTTTCCTTGGACACGTATTTTGGGTCGTTTCATTAAATACGCTGTTTATCATGGTATGATATTTAAATCGTAAACGTGAGATGAAGCAATTGATTGTTGTTATTTAAAACGTGATGTTTTCATTTTCAGGTTTTTGCTTTCTATCCATACTACGTTGGTAGTTTTGCAATAGCATTATTAGATCTACAAGAGTATGCAGCTGCTTCACATTTTGAGGGATTAGTAACTGCTTTATGTGGTTATTGTGTTACTGGAGTGGGATTAGTTGTTCTCCATACATTAGCGGCACCTTTAGGTTTCCAACGTTCTCAACGGTTATTAGGCTTATGTTACGTTATAGTAAAGGTTTCTTTACTCTCGGTCGTTGAGATAGGAGTACTTCCTTTGGTCTGTGGGTGGTGGTTAGACATTTGTTCACTAGCAATGTTCGATGCCACGCTTCGAGATAGAGAATCTTCGTTTAAGCTAGCTCCTGGTACCTCAATGTTTTTACATTGGTTGGTGGGAATGATTTATATATATCATTTTGCTTCGTTCATTTTGTTATTACGAGAAGTGTTACGACCAGGAGTACTTTGGTTCTTGAGAAATTTAAATGATCCTGATTTTTCTCCTATCCAAGAAATGATACATCTTCCAATTTTAAGACACGTTAGAAGACTCGTAGCATCTGCAGTAATATTTGGAACTGCTATTTTATTAATGCTGTGGTTACCTGTGAAACTCTTAAGATGGGCATGGCCGGGATTTTTACCATACACAGTGACTATTCAAAGTGAAGCTCAGGTAAGGAGCTAATTATTTAAAAGAGAAAATAAAAATTTCTTCCCACTAATAATTGCAATGTACTATTTTATCTGTTTTCATTTTTAAATTAGATCAGCGAATTGTCACTAGAACTGCTATTACTACAAGTTATTCTTCCTGCATTATTGGAGCAATCTCACACACATAGATGGCTAAAAGCCCTAATAAGAGAATGGTGCCGAGTGATAGCTTGGATGTTAGATCTTCAGTCATATCTTTTAAGAGAGCAAACTGAAGATCCAGGACCAGCAGTAATCGAAGAACCGCAACATCCTGATTTAGGAGCAGCGCATCAAGCACTTTTACAAAGAGGAGGACCCACAAGTTTCCAACAGTATATCAGGCCACGCTGGTTTCCTGCTCGTCTAGTTGGTCTTTTGTTTTGTGTTTGCGTTTCTCTTGTTATTGCTAGTTTAATTGCGATGATTCTCCCTGTTTGGCTTGGACGCAGAGTAATGGCGTTGTGGATGGTTGGAGCTCCAGCTCCGTCTCCATTAGTATTACCACCTACCTTAAGTGGGTCTGGTAAGTTTGCTTTTCAATGTATAAAATGCTTATCTTCCTTGTCAACACACTTAGATTTCCATCTTTTTTTCAAATTGTCTTTTTAATTACATCGTCCTTTTTAATGTTTCAGATACTAACGAAGCTACAGTTGCTTTGTCTGGACGAGTACATGAATTATACACCATAGCTTGTGGAATGTATGTGTGCTGGGCAGCGGCAAGAGGATTAGCTTTAGCATTTTCTTGGTTGCCTCGTGGTCGAAGAGCTCTTTTAGATAGAATCAAACACTGGGCAATCATAGGTGTTAAAGCATCGGTAGCATTTCTCCTACTTATTGGCCTAATACCGCTTCTCTTTGGTCTTCTTCTTGAACTAGTCGTTGTAGTACCATTACGTGTACCTTTAGAACAAAATCCCATTTTGTTTATCTGGCAAGATTGGGCCTTGGGTGTCTTATATACAAAAATAGCAACCGCTATAATTATGATGGGACCGGACTGGAAAATCCGTCTTGCAATTGAACGAGCGTACAACGATGGTATTAGGGAAATAGATTTGAAATTCATTATTACGGAATTAGCAGCACCGGTAATATGTTGCTTCGGTCTTGCTTTAGCTGTTCCCTACACTGTAGCTTACGGAATAGTCCCACTTTTGATCACGAATTTACAAACGCAAATTCTTATTGCTAGACATTTATATCCATTTCTGTTATTAGTACTCTTGGTATGTATTGTTATCTACTTTCAAATTCGACAATTTAAAAAACTTTACGAACATATAAAGAATGATAAATATCTTGTCGGTCAAAGACTTGTAAATTATGAACATCAAAGTAAGTCTCGATCGTAAAAAAAAAAAAAAAGGAAAAAGCAGTAACAATCACATGCATTAACCTAATGTATTTAGCATAAATTTTTCTCGACAATGAGAAGATTAACCGAAGATTCTTTAATGTACATTCTCTACTGCACTTGATTTAAAAAAAAACACAGATATTAACTTATATTAATTATATCTTAATTTTTAGTATTATAATTTATTAGTGTAAGCGATATGAAATGAATTGAAAAGACTGTTTACATAATGTATCGCTTTTTTGTTTTACTACAGATACATTATATTGCAGGTCGATTTTGATTTGTATTTAAAAAATATATTGTTCAAAAAGAACAATGAATATTTTGCACGATTAACGAATACGCATCACTTTGTGGAGCCCAAGATTCCCGTTTTATTATTAATCAAATAAATAACTTTTGAAATATATCATGAACTTTAATTTTCGACTCTAAAAAATTTCAATGTACAAAGTTCCATTACACTTTAATAAATCCCAAGGAAATAAATTTCAGAGTACGTACTGTTATGAAAGTAAATCTACATTTTAACTAAGAACTTGTTAGTAACAAAATAGTACGTTCATAATTTATTGTAAAAAATTAATGTTTAAAACAATTAACTTGAATGAAATAAAGAAAATCATATTTCTTGAGAAACTTGTTATTAATTTCTTTTAGCAAGACTTGCCATTTAATTGTGTAAGTGTAACACAAAAAAATAGTAGAAAACTGAATTCTGAAAGATCTTGATTACTTCCATGATCATGCTCTTTTTCGTATACAATTAGAATATATGCTTTGCGAATAGTATACATAACTTTATGTACAAATATAAAGCTAAATATAAGGGCTATTTATTTGTATATGTAATAATCGTTCATTGATTAATGTAATTGTATGATCACAAGTATGTAAAGATGTTGCCCCGATGTACATTAAAATATAATTGAAATAAATAATGTTCTTGCGAAATATGTGATTTATTTTTTCCGTCAATTTTTTCAAAATACATTTATTGAATAGAAAAAATTTCTATTCATTTCAAGTTTACGTTGATTGTATATATTTATATATATGCATATGCATACATACAGTGTATAAAAAGATATATATAGCGATAAAAATATTTCCACAATGATTTTAAATATAATCTCGAATAATTTACAGTAAAATTTCTGATTCGGAATTCGGCGGTAAAAAATTACCAATTAATTGAAAAGATTCAGGATGTTTTTCGATCCTTAAATACAATAAAGTAAAAACATTTATTACCTGAAAAATACCAAGTACATATATTATCATCATAATGTTTTATCTAAATAATATGTAAAATATTGATATATTACCTGAGTAACAGGAGGTTGTTTCCAAAAAATATTTATCGTTGGAACAGAACATTCCGAAGAATATTCGACGTCTGCTAAATTTTCTAATTGAGTAAAGGAAAGCCTTAATTTTGTACCAAGTTGACACAATATAACGTTTACAAAATTTTCATTTACACTCAAAACAATACCCATTGCAATCATAGGACCTTTTAAGTCTACCAAATATGTAAAGTACAACTCGCTACTTCGTTCTTGAGCCATTTTTGCGCTGTATTTCTTTATGTTACAATTTGCTGCTATTCTATTTCAAGAGAAACGATATAAAAATGTCAAAAGTATTTTATTTGTTTTTTAATTGCTATATTTTAATTACTTACGATTTACACAGTTTTTTAGTCCATTCTTTAGGCATCTCTACATTTTTTAGAGTCGAATAAAGTAAACGATGTACGATACAATCAGAATATCGTCTAATTGGAGAAGTAAAATGTGTATAAAGCGATACGTTTAAAGCGTAATGTCTCAATTCCTCTTCTGCTTTTACTGAAGACGAACATATGTAAGTCGCTCGCTAAGAATATAAAGAATATAATTGAAATTTATATACATGTATTAACAAGTTCTTTAGACAATAATAAAACTAAAGAAAAACTCGTACAGTCATAGCTTTGGAACAAAGATTGTTAATAACCATCATCCTGTATTTCATCGTTGTTCTTGTGTCATCATTTTCAGTTTCCAATTCTTGTTCATAACGTTTTATACTAGCATGTAAAGATGCAGACGAATTAACATCTAAATGAATACCGAATTTTTGCAGTGTATCTTGCGTTATATTGAGGATATGTTTCGAGGGCTCTCTATGATTACGTAATAAAGCAGTCTCCGGAATCATATTGTATAGCTCTGTAGCAACTGTCATATTAGCTAGCAACATAAACTCTTCTATGAGTCTAAAATATAATGTATACATATATACATACGTATAAGTATGTATGTATATGTATATGTTTATGTTATAATTTAACGAATATATCATGAAACTGTTGACTTCAAACATAATACAAATACCTGTTACTATCTTGTCGTTCTTCTATATTATACGATAATGGTAAACCCGTAGTTTTATCGACTCTAATATATAATTTTGGTTGATCTATTTGTAGCGCGCCATTTTGAAATCTTCGCTTACGCATTTGAGTAGCTAGATCGTGTAAAATGTTTATTTTCGTTGATAAATCGCTAAGTTTGTAATTTCCATTTATATTTAAAAAGTCATCTGGCCAATTATGTTCTGGATTTTCGATTAATTTCTGAACATGCTGATAAGACATTTGACAGCACGATCTGATTATAGTTTTAGCAAAATGATATTTAACGACTCTCGCATCTTGTGTCATCTCCCAAATAACTGAAAAAGCCAGTTTATCCTGGCCAGGTGACAAAGAGCATACTTGACATAATTGTTTTGGCAACATATGATATACATTATCTGTCATATATATGGTTGTAGCACGTTTTGAAACCTGAATATCTAATGGAGATAAAAATTCTATGTAATGAGTGACATCTGATATATGCACACCAATCTGGAAAAAGAGAAGAGATATGTAGAGAAAGTAATGAAACATGAAGGAATCTTTATAGTATCTTATAAGTATCATTACTTCATAATTCCCATTTTCCAAAGATTTGCAAGAAACTGAATCATCTAAATCAACGGCATTGTCAGGATCGATAGTAAATATGCATTCACCTCTCCAATCTTCTCTGTTTTTTACATCATTTTCTGTTAAAGAATAATCGCTATTTGGAAGCCCTTTCATTACGTCTGGCCCATAAGGTGTAACATCTAAATCATATTCAAGCAATATTGCATTCGTCTCTGCTTTTATATCACCAATGTTCCCAAGTACTTTTTCAATTTTCCTATAAATAGTGCGATATTTTGACAATTATTAAAGTTCTTCTAAGTTCTTCGAATTTATAAGTTTTTATCATACCCAACTGCAAACTTTGGTTTTACCCAATCAGTTATAACGACCAAATATAATGTATCTTCATAACTACTTGGACATACACCGAACTGTTGCAATGATTCCTTATTTATTTTAACCAGTGGTATGCGATGATCTCTGGGATATAAAAATGTGAATGCACCTCGTTGTTTGAAACATCCCACTGTTTTCCTCGGATGTACTTTTTCCCGAATATAAACAACAACACCTGTTTTTTGCTTCTGTCCTCGATGCATATGCCATTTGTCTGGTTGATTTATACATGCCACGACAAAATCTCCATCAAAAGCCCGATTTCTATCTTTTAAGCCGACAATTAATAGATCATATTGATCGTCGGATAAAGATAAATAAGCATATTTATGACACCATGGATTAATGCGTAATTGGCCTTCTATATATTGTCTTCCATTGGAATCTTCATTTCTTAGAAGTTTATCAATTTGTTTCTCAGGAATATATTGTGCAAACGTTTCTCTTTGTCTCAAAGATTTAGATGTTTGAATTTCGATATCTTTCTCTTCTTCCGGTTCAATGTCAACAGGCACTGCTCGTTTATCAGAGGTTTTCCCTTTATTTCTCCTCCTGCTAATTTTACGACCAAACTTCTCAATTTTGGGCTGATTTTGTGCAACAAAATCCGAAGGAATTGATTCGTTTGGCATGATTTCAACTTCTTACTCATTTATACATGAAAATTATTTGTTATCAATTCGTCGGACATAATTGTTCCTACGCTCTAAATGTGTTGAAAATTATTGTATTTTAATTCACACGCTGTGAACGCATATGTTAATGATAAAATTCACTTACGTACGAAAAGAACTGACAAATTTTGATTATACTTCAAGAATGCTTCCAATAGTGAGAGTCCAACAAAGAACAAAGAAGCATTATTTAACGTTCGATGTTTCCGTCAATAACGTACCAAATTTAAAAAACATATACATCCCGAATTAAAGCAATAGCGTCACTTTGTACTCGACGTTCATTATTCGTTAAATTCGACGATATCTCAGAAAGATGCATGTTTCGATACACAGCGTTTATATATATTATTTACTACTTAATACTTCACTTTTCGGTTCTTCTTGCTCTTATTTATTTTGATTAACGAAAGGTTGAGTCGATCATCGTTTCACTATCGTTCGGTTATCAAACGTTCTCGAAGTAAAGTATGTCGAACATTTCACGAAACTCGCACCACCAATGATATAATCGATGGCTATTGTACGTTGTACGATGAATCGAAAATCTAGCACTTAATTGGTTGTTTGAAATGGCACTAAACCGCAGAATTACATGGGTAATTTTCTTCATAAATGTTGGCAGGATCGTCTAATGAATGAAAATGAGAATTCCCTGCAATGTGGGAAGCCATATGATGTTACATGGATTTATATATATCTAATACAACTTATGCACATTATGGCGGATAAAACTACGTTATTAATAAAAATACGAACCATCGCTACAAATCTACCACATCACTACTAGTTTTATTTTTCTCCTTATTACTGCCTGCTACGTATATATACGCCGCCATGTTTTCCCTGGCAAATGGCAACCATGATCAGTTGGCACTTTCGCACGTAGAGTGGCGAGCGGTGGTGGTGGTGGTAAAGTAAGTCGTGAACGTGGTGGCAAAGATAAAGTTGTCGATCGGTAGGAAAGAAATTAGCGAACAGTCGGGCGAGTGACTGAGCTCCGTTAGTGTCAAAGGCAGGAGGAGAACACCAAGTATCGAGGAAAAAAAAAAATAGACAGATAGATAAAGCGAGAGAGAAAAGGAAGGAAGCAAAAAAACCGAAACGTGCGAAAAATATAGTGTGAGAAGCAGTAAAATTTGGTTTAATCGTAACTAGGTGACTAGGTAAACCGAAAATGTTTCACATAAGAAGATTAACAAGATCGTCGATCGCTTTGAAGCAAGCACCGACCAACGATATTATTCATAACACGCTGATACGCGTCGTGCCGGCGTTTCAAACGCGCGGTTATGCCGATCATCAGATACCCGATCGGCTAAAAGACATCCCTGACGATCCAGATCCAAACTTCTTCGACATGGTCGAGTATTTTTTTCACCGCGCTTGTCAGATCGTCGAGGACAAGTTGGTCGAGGACATCGGCAAGCGTTCCAGAATGAGCGTGGAAGAACGAAAGAAAAAGGTGAAGGGTATCTTGATGCTAATGGAACAATGTGATCACATCCTCGAAACTTCCTTCCCTCTGAGACGCGACTCAGGCGACTATGAAATGATCACCGGTTATCGCGCGCAACATTCAACTCATAGAACACCTTGCAAAGGAGGTAAATCGAGAGACGCTTTAGTTTATACTTCATCTTTTTGTACTCGTGATAGCAGCGTAGCTACTTGACAATTGCAGTCTCGATCACTGCGTTAATTTCTTCGATTGTTTCTTCTATCTTTGAAAGTTGCTTTGAACAAATAACTGGGCTTGTCACATCGTTTACAATTCCACGTACGCGGGAGTGCGACCGAGCGATAGCGAAGCCTAACGTATCGTAGAATGTGTAATTGGCCGCTGAAATTTATTGTTAGCAGTAATTACGTCATCGGTAACAATACGCAAGAGACGGAGCAATCTTAAACTGGACCGAATTCGCGGAATTTCATTCTGTCGAAAATCTCTTTATCTTGTTTTCCTGAGTGGACAAACGTATGACAAATCATAATCGATCTTTTCTTTTTCTTTTTTTTTTGCATTTGCATTCTTTCTCTTCGCGTCAATGTCATAATTTCAATCGATTTTTGCACCGTTTGTTTCTAGTTTTAACTATTCAATGTGCAGTATATGATGAGACAGTTTTGTACGCGACGATTTTTTTACGGCTTCGTGAGTTACAATGACGTGGTTTTAACCTCGATTTTAGTAGATAGATTTTCGAAACCATATTTGCTACGCAGCATATAGCACTAGGTTATTTGGGGAATGGCTATTTTACATAACGAATAATTTATTTTATGAGTTACATGGAAAAAAAAAATATATATATATATATTGTATATACACACATATATAGTCTGCTCGGAGAAATTCAATCTTTGTGACGCACAACATGTGATGAGGAATGATAATTTACCAACGCTTCTCTTCCTTCTCATAACTTCCATGTTTCTTACTCACGAGGATTGTGTTACATCGACAATTCTGCATGTGATGCGTCGATTTACGAGTAACGTGATGCACAGGATACATTAGAATCCTTATTAATATACACACATAGACACATCCTAGATATGCGAATAATTGTACAGATGGCAAGAGGAAAATGAAAATTTTAATCAGAAATTGACCTGTTACACGTATATTTCTCTGCTTGCTTTTAACGTGGAATAGCCATCTTACTAGATTCTATCAAGATCACTGGGACAATCTGTATAGAATTTATTGAAATTCGACATTTTTATACGACAAAGTCAGATGAATGATTGCTTATCCTTTAGGAAATCGTATTCGAGACGCGTGTATTAAAAACATCTCCTTGATGTAATTTTGTACTTGAGCTCGCGACTGAAAACGTAACAGTATCTCGTGATGCGGAAATCTTTTTCGAGAGCCAAACAAGTGAACTGCATTTTGCCTGTATCCACCATCAGCGGTTTTTTTAAAATGGCAATTCAACCCGTTTTGTTGCACGACGCAGTTAGAAGCACATTCCTAATCATTTTTTACTTATTCATGTTATTATTCACGTTATGAAACATGGAATGTTTGCCTTCGAGTGTATCGCTAATCAATCGCCGTTTAAAGAATGTCGATACAATGTAACGATGCCAAGCTGTCTGGTGTTTTTCTTTCGTCCCTGCCAGACGTTAGTTAACTACCTTGATTCACTCTTTAATTTAAGAGTTTGGCAATCACAGCAATCATGTCAATGTCACGATGCTTGGAGAGGTGAACGCTCTCTAAACAAATCCCTCAACAAATCAATACATACGATTGGGCTAAAACAGGATGTTTGTTTTAGTAATATCTCTTCGATCGTTATAACCTTAAATTTCACATGTTAATAGTGTTATTTAAACTGTTATATCCAGCTGTTATTTAAAAAAAGTTACTAACAAAGTTTACTTATTAAAAGTTATTAAAAAGTTATTAACAAAGTCACATGCAAATATGTAGGCGCACAAATGTATCAACACCCATTATCGTACGAAGACATAAATTTCTTTCGAAGGATATCTACCTTCTTTTATTTTTTAACTTTAAATTATAGAATTTCTTATCGAAACGGAAGTGACTGGAATGGTTAAGTAAACGTCCAGTTTTATATCGATTATAAAACAACTATGTGTTTTATAATAATGAAGATAGCTATCACTATTTAATAGTAAAACAATTGTCTTAACTTTTT